AAAATAAAATAAAATAAAATAAAGAACACAAAATATTTACTAGGTAGATGGGATAAGGAAATCAGACAGACCATAATCAGTTATCTCTGTCCAAGACTCGAGTTTCTTATTTGTTACATGAACTTTTGTAGGCTGGCATCCTTGACTGGCAGGTTTCAGTCTTATCTATTTTGGTAAAGGGTAGAGAAATGGACCCATAAATGAATATTCTTTCTAATTTGTACATTTTCCACACTGTACATATATAGCTAGCAACCTTGGGCTTCAATGGCTCTAATTTACAGAGTTTTCTTTCTTTCTTATCTCCTAACATTCCCCTACATATAGGAAGGAACTTCAAAACATTTCTAGTAAAATTGAATTAAAGTATGAGTTGATGGGCTAGCAGGTAGCATGGTAATTAAGGTGCTGGACTCCCACATAGCTGACCATGGTTTCAGTCCTGGACCTGGTGGCTTGAAAATCACACCAGAAATGTGTGCATGCATATCCAAAGTCCCAGGAGTAAAATGGAGGAGAAATTGTGGTGTGGTCATCCCCCTTGGGGCATGATTTCTATCCCCTTGGGGCATGATTTCTCATTTTCTCTCTCACTGAAATTATGAGTTGAATTAGGTGCAAAAATTTTGAAATCCATGCCTACATTTCTCCAGTATATCTTTCTATGAAGTTTTCGAAGACCCCAGGTACTACATGCATCAAAAACTTCCTATAGTTCTCTTTCCTAACATGGAAACCTATGAAGTGCATCTATTTCATGCACTATAAATGCTTGACATACATGTAACCTGTGTCACTGATTTGAATTGCAAAGTCATATTTTTCCCGGTAATATACTTTCTAAATATTTTAATATGTTGTTTAACATACAGCAATACAAAAAAAGGTTTAAAAACTATATGTGAACCACTCTTCTGAAAAATAAAACAAAAAAAAAAAAACCCAGAAACCTCTCCTACTGGGACCAGCAGGTGGCGAGGTGGTTAAGATGCTGGATTGCCACATGACTGACAATAGTTTGAGTCCCAGACCTGGTGGCTAGAAAATTATGCTAGATATGTGTGTATGTGTGCCCAAAATTACAAGAGGAGAGTGAAGAAGGAATTGTGACATGGCCATCCCTTCTGAGGAGTGATTTCTTACTTTCCCTCTCACTGTCTCTCTCTCTCTCTGGAGAGTCCATGCACCCTATAGCAAGAAAACATTTTTTTTTAAAGGAAGAAAACCTGTTTCCTTGAAAACAAGAACTAAAAATATCACTATCTTTGTGCTTGTTTTGACCCCATGTGTGTGGACATATCCAGAGAACTTGCCTATAAAGCCTCCTATATACTTCTTCCTTTATGCCTTCTCAGCAGGGATGGGTTTCTCTTTATCCTGATATAACAATCAAAATTAAAGTCATAGTAATAGTATAAAAAAGGCAAATAAAAGGCTCTCATTGTTCTTTTATAGGTGAGTAATATTCCATGGTGTGCATGTGCCACACTTTTTCAATCCATTTATCTGTTCTTATATATTTGGGTTGATTCCATGTCTTAGCAACTGTAAAATAAATAAACAAGTTTTTAAAAATTAAAATAAAAGGAAGAAAAAAATTACAGCGTTGACCCTGTGTGAATTTGCATGTGGTCAAAATACTTTCAAAGGGCTGGTAGGTGGTGTGGTGGTTGAGGTGCTGGACTCCCACATGGCTGAGGCTGTTTGAGTCCTGGCAGCTTTGCTTTCTCATTTTCCCTTTCTCTCTCTCTTTTTGTTTTTAAAGAGAATTAAATTGTTTATGGATTGCACATGATAATGGAAGATACACAAGCTTTGTTCCCATCTAATCTAGTACCATTATTTAATTTAGATATATGGCATAGGACATGCCAACAATCATTTTGTATTAACCAAATTGTGACTTTGCTTGAGTGAACCTCTGAATGAACTTCAGGACACAATAACTGTCAGTTAAACTACACCAATGTTTTTGAAGACCACTGGCTTCTCCACCCAAGCAGGTAGTAAATGATGATTTAATTTCAAAATGGAACCTGTCACCACCCTGAAAGTGATTCTAACTTCACACTGTTGGGAAATTTACCAACATGGCTTCAGAGTAGACTAACTTTACATAGCACATTTTTTAAGAAGACACATATATTCAGCATCATGATCAGACTATTACATTTGGCAATCAACAGCATGGATCCCAAAGAAATCTACATTAAAACCCTTTGTTGGAATTCTTTACACTTTCCACAGAACAGAAACTAAAATCTATCTCTCCCTTATGATAATGTCTTTTACTAGACTGTTATGAAGTGTAGTTATGATGAGAAAATCCATGTGGTATGGTATAAAGATAAACAGTGATTTAATGTTTTAAAAAAAAGTGAAAAAAAAATAATATAAACGAAGTACCTTCAAAAGACTCCCAGAGGGCTCAGCACACATGTTCACTTATGTCAGTTAGCTCTTCAGGGAAGGAAATGCACTCTAGTAATGAGTGAGAGACATTACATGCTAAATACCACCCCTAAAGAAAGGTGATCACCATCTGAGATGAAGGAGTCAAGTGAGATAAAAGATTTATATGGTGGGACCAGCAGTTGGCATAATGGCTAAGTTGCTGGACTCCCATGTAGTCGACAGCACTTAGATTCCCAGACCTAATGCCTTAAACTCATGCTGGGTGCATGTGCATGCATGCCCAAGATCCCTAGAGAATGGAGGAGAAGGGATTACGGTGTGGCCATCCCCCCAGGGGGTGATTTCTTGCTTTCTGTCTCTCTGTCTCTGTCTTTCTGGTGAGCACATGCGCCCTATAGCAAAAACCTCTAAAAAAAGAATTATTTAATTTTAACAGTCAGTGAATCAATAGCCAATCTAAATTAGTAAAGTG